AGTGTGGACAAGTCTGCTACCAGTTCACTGGCATATGATTCTGCCACTTCGATTGCCCTGAATTCTTGCAGGAATTTCAATTGAATTCAGGCTATTGGAACTATTGACTGTATGAAAAAGCTAAATAGTTCCATTCAGTGTGACTTGTTAAGATTTTCTTCTTTTAAATTATTCATGCCCTTACATGTTTCGGTCTTCAGAGACCATCTTCAGAGGGACACCTTTACATCAATACAGTTAGAAGCCACTATTAGAGTACATGTTCTGAAGTTAAAATATATACATACATCATCATCATCATCAGTAATCTGTCAGGCGACAGGTCCACAGTCTCTTCCAAAACAGTTTCTCCACTTAATGCGATCTTCTGTTTTTGGAAAGAGACTATCCAGGAAAAGTGATAATGTGGTAGTTTTTCCATTTGCTTTCCACATCGCAGTACAACAGCCGTTCAAACCACTCTGGTCACGCCTGTTGCTATACGAACTTGAACCATCTCGAGCATCATTTGCTCTGTGCTTCAAGTCGCTGCTGATGACGCTGCTTCCGACATCAGTTTTTGGTGTCTCTCTTCGTCTGATGCCTACCCTTTGACCTGTCCAGCAAGGGAGGCCCTGCCAGTAGCTACGCTACCGCTGGTATAGCTCTCCGGGTCCTTGGCATACTCAAACCCCCTCACCACGATAAGGTGGAGACACCAAGGAAATTTACTGAAAATTCTTCCTTTTGTACTACACACAAGTCCTCTGTCAGTACAGGCTTTACAGAGCAGATCATGTCTAACTTACATACCTTATGCTACAACGACAACTTAGTCACTTGAACGGTAGTAAGCTTGACCACCGCCAATCGAAGGGTGATACATACAATATAAATAATATACAATTGGCTGTAAAATCTAAAGTTTTTACAACTACAGTGGCTGTTCCAATACTTTAAAATATTTATAGTTAGTTTGTTAAAATTCTATTGGAATTCATAAACCAAGCTGGTTCGTGTCTTCCCTCTTATTATTTCTTTTGACGGGGGCCGAATGTGTGCCACCTTGTCGTTCTCGAGAAGCGGGTTCTGCAAATATATTATGTATTATTTCATCAATCCTCGTTATGTTTTGTAAAAACTTCTGTTATTTCGTCCTACCTTTAATGTTGTCATGTACATGTTTGTGGCCAGCTGTGTTGTTTTTGCTGTTCTAGGTTGTGTCGTACCACGTATTTATACTCCTTGTGTCTGTGATGTTAGTGTGGGCATGTACTGATGTATTATGAGGTCGAACATATTATACTGGTTGTCACTTTCCTTTGTGTGTTTTTGCTCTTCTATCAAATTGTTGAGCTTATTAAAGCGATATACTATATATGGAAATTTTCTTTTCTATTCATGATGCTCCCTTTTTTTGGGCATTCTCAACCATTTCCATGATTATTGTCATTGGTCCATACTGGTGGCATTTGTTTTAGTATATGTTGGGCAAATGCTGATTTGTCTTTGTTTAGTCTTATGTTTCTTATGTGTTCCTTGTACCTTGTTGTTAGATTTCTACCAGTCTGGTCGATGTATACTTTATGGCAGCTTTGGCAGATTATTTTATATATCCCACTTTATTTGTAGGGCTTTGTTTCTCGTTTTTAATTTACTAGTTTACCTATAGTGTGAGCTGTTTTAAAGGCTATTTTTATATTGGTATTTTTGAAGAGTTTTGTGATTTTTCGTATGTAATTTCCCGTATAGGTAAATGTGGCCCATTTTTGTTCTTTTTCGGCTTTATCATCCAGATTATTTTTCTTTTGTTTGAGTTTGTTATATAGTTGTGTGATGTCTTCCTTCTTATAGTCATTATTTAATGCTCTGTTAATAGTATTGAACTCTTTGTTTTTAGCGTTTTCTTTGAGGGGTAGTGTGAGAAGTCTGTGTATCCAGTTTTTGTATGCTGCTAATTTTTGTTCTTCAGGGTGGCAAGAGTTATTATTTATTGTTGTATCTGTCGTGGGTTTCTGTATATTTCCATTTCTATTTGTCAATGTTTGTTAATTAGGTTTAAGTCTTAAGTATGCTATTTGGTTGTTTACTTCCTCATCACTTGTGAATTGCAAGTTCTTATGTTGTGTATTGAAGTGTTTGAGGAAGTTTTGGGGGGTTGTTTTTGTCTGATTGTATATTATGAAAATGTCATCTACATATCTAGTATAGTATATGATTTTTTCCATCTTCCAGTAGATGTTTTATTCTGTTTTGTCCTAGATCTTGGAGGAAAATTTCTGCCGTAGTACTTGATACCCTCTTCTTGAGAACGACAAGGTGGCACACATTCGGTCCCAGTCAAAAGAAATAATAAGAGGGACGACCTGAACCAGCTTGGTTTACAAATTCCAATAGAATTATAACAAACTAACTATAAATATAAGTATTGGAACAGCCACTGTAGTTGTAAAAACTTTAGATTTTACAGCCAGTTGTATATTGTACGTATATATTTTAACTTTTAGAACATGTACTCTAATAGTGCCTTCTAACTGTATTGATGTAAAGGAGTCCCTCTGAAGATGGTCTCTGAAGATGGTCTCTGAAGACCGAAACATGTAAGGGCATGAATAATTGAAATAAGAAAATCTTAACCAGTCACTGAACGAAACTATTTAGCTTTTTCATAATATCAGTGTGATGGACCAGAATGAAACAAATCAAATTTATTGGCTGTATGTTGTATGAGGGTGTATGCTTGTGTTCAGAAGTTTTCCTCTAGAGTGAAAGAAATTCTGACAGGGATTTATTATCAAGGCTGTTAACCAGATCACTTGGCACAGTTGCTCCAGGGTCCCTGGATTCTTTATAGTAAAAGAGGTGTATCTAAATTTAATATAATTTGAGTCCCAAATTCTTTCACATTGTATCTATATTAAAATATACTGAGGGCCTTGAAAAACACGTGTGAAAGTCCGCAGTACCTGAACCAGCACTGCTTATGACAGTCTTGTCTTAAAGACTTTCACCCTAGAATTGTATATATTAGCGGTATATTCCACACATTTTGTACTGCATCATAAATTATCTGTAGTTGAAATTTACAGGCATGGCCTCATAATTTCCCTATCGACATATTTTTATCCCCTCCCCCCACACAAAAATATTTCGTACAGCATTTTTGTGTACTTTATGGCCAATCTCTGGTCCAAAAACGACAATTATGTCCGAACAGGTTAATCAAGTTTGCCATAAAGCCGAAAGCTCTACATAAATATTCTTGCATTTTTTATTGTTTGCCAAAAAGTGGAGTCAGTATAGCGACTGGCTACGGGCTGGACGACTGAGGGATCGGCGTTCAAGTCCTGTTAGGGTCAATAATTTTCTCCATGTCCAGTCCGGCTCTGGGGTCCACCCAACTTCCTATCCAATGGGTATCGGGGGCTCTTTCCCCAGGAGTAAAGCGGCCGGGACGTGAAGCTGACCATTCACCTACAGCTAGTGCCGAGAGCAAGAAAATGTGGATCTAAACATCCACTCCCCCAATACGCCTTCATGGCGTAGTGCTTAGTTAGTTAAGCACGAGGCAACTACCTTTTTTACCTTTTATCTGCAAAAAATTATCGTGCCAAACTTTCGGAATTTTAAAGTCAAAGAAGATTTCAATACTGTGGTTAACTGGCGCTGGTGTCTTATCCACACTGTAAGCAAGCAGGATCTCGATGTTGGTAGTGGAAAGCTGCTGGGGTTAGTTTTCCGATTGCATGATGATCATATCAAGATTCATGAACATCCGTTAATCGGTTCGGAAGGTGACAGTGGGAGACGGGTGTGCACACACGAACAGTGAGGATATCATAAACTTAGTGATTTCATTCGAAAGAAAATATTAAAATACAAAAAATCTAGGATTAAAAAAAATACCTCCCTTAAACTAGGACACTGTGGTTCACATATTGATCGGGAATGTGTTTTCTGTGAGGAGGAAAGGTAAAATTGTCCCTGTGCTTAACTAATCAAGCACAACGCCATGAAGACTTGTGAGGGAACGGACTTAAAACGTGCCGGTGAATCTTTTGAGGAATTAATCTAGACATGCTATCTCTTTACATGTATATGGTGGGGGAAGGAAAGGGTTGTTCCCTATGTTTGGTCGCAAACTGTAGCTCAACATCTTCAGAGATCGTATATAATATACTCTGATTCGGCCTATAATTTTGTAATGCAAGAACCTGTGGTAGATGGTACTGCATTTTCAGGTAATTATGATACTGATTGCTCATTCTTATTTATATTTGCACGCCTAGGGAGGGCGGAACATATGCGGGTTAATGGTCAAAAGATTTACATAAATGAGCATGCGTAGTTGTGTTATTCAGTTAATGTGAAAATCCACGCAAAGAACGTGGTCGGGCGTTAGTGGTGAATCAGAACGTCACGCGACTACTGTAAGCTCTAGTGGCTGACCAAAAGATTGATTCCTGTTTATTCAGTGAACTATTTATTATACACAGGAGTTCCAATTACAGCTGCAGCGGTTTGCTCTAATTTCCAGTCCCATTTTCTTTAGAAGTGACATTTTTTAATTGCTGTATCTATTTACTTCTTTTTTAAATACAACCGGCTGCTTTTCGCGCTTCTGAGGGCTTGAAAAATGTTCCGCATGGAGATCACATCCATTTAAATATCGCATTATGACACCATATTTCATCCAAGCGATATTAACAATTTTCTATGGGTAGGTGGGGGCTGGTGGTGCAAGTCTGGTCTTCCCGTCTTGGGCTCCTGTCGGTTCATAAATTACCGTTACGTATTCATATGAAAATATGAAATTTCTTTTGTGTGCTATGCACAGTGAGTTATGATTGTGCTTGTTTTAAATGTTCCGCGAATGTTATCGTACCTGTGCACGCAACGAATTCGATTGGTGTTTCTACGGGCAGCACGTTTGTTGTTATTGGTTGAAGGACAGTCAACTGTTCAGTGCTAGGTTGCCTTAGTAGGGAGTTAGATGTTGCAGGTGTGTTTATTGTTTACAGGTGGATTTATGCGCACACTAATTTCGTTTGGCAGGCATTTTGAGAGATAATGATGGGAATGGCGTCCTTTCTTGACCACCTTGTCATATTATCGACTCTTCTCACAGTTCTGTTCAAAACTGGTAAGTTCTGAGACATTTTTGTGTTCAGTGTTTCTTACAGCGTCAAGACATGGTAGTAAGTCTAACCACACCTTTGGAATGTGACTCCTTGTAGTGTGGTACGGCATGTTGCAAAAAAATAGTGCTCATCATAGTCACTGCTGTGAGAACCGCAAATCTAGTACAATTTCATAGCGTCTTTTCTCCTTTCATGGAACATGGAACGAACTTGCGGAACATGGGTTGAACTTACTTTGTTTTGCTGGTGAATGCCTATAAATTAGGGTTGCCGATCGTTCAGAACAGGATCGTAGACCGAACATAATTTGTTGACATACAGATTAAGAATAAATCTACTGATTAGAATATATCTGTATGTAATGTGTATAATCTGTTGCTCATTGCTGTTAACATATGAGAACCGTTACATGTACAGTATTGTGTTTATTTACCTCGTTCATATAGATAACCCCAAAATAAAATCCTACGTAGTAATGTAACCCGCGTAATCTTCGTAAGGTCGTCGTCGTAGGTTGGGTGTGGTGTGTAATACAGAATATGTCTCTGTAGCCTAGATTCGTGCCCTAGACATGCCACAGGATTTCCTATACTGAAAGGTCTTGCGTTTATGTTTCGTGGTGTTCTGAGTGCAGTTTGTTTGTTATTTTATATTTGCACGAGTCAAATAAAAAAAACACGAAGTTATCCCTGTGCGTAATTGAGCACCATACCATGAAGACGTGTGAGGGATGGAGGTACAGGGTAATGAATGGATCGTAAAGAGGCTCCGGCATTCGTTGGTATGAGGAACACAGAACCACTCTCGACGCTGTGGAGAAAACAAACATTTCTTCTAGCGAGAATTTAAATCAGGGGCACGCGGTAGTTGGTTGAGGTACTGTGCTACAAGCGGGTTCAAGTCCGATGATGATGTTTTTCAATTTACCTAATCGTACCAGCCGCACTATGGCACTGTGGCCGACTCAGAGAGCGAAGTGAGTACCAGGAATCTTCCTGGAGGTTAAAGGGCGGCCGGCGCGTAAGACTGACAACTTTACTGCCATCTGTGAGCCCATTGTCTAAATAAAATATGGGAGCATCGACGACTCACAACCCTATGGACCTTCAGGGCCTGTTACAGGGATAGCTTACAGAGAATTTAAACCGAAATCCTCGGTCGTTCAGCCCGATGCCTAGCCACTACTCAGTGAGTTATCCCGGATTCATATATTTATGTATTTTAGGTAATTTGCCGAAGTAGCTCTCATAGGAGTGCATCGTTTTGAACTTCCAAGACCTGTTCCGTGATTTGTGGTGGTTTGAGCTGTTTCCTCTGTGTTCTTCAGGTTTCCTTATGGTTCACTATCGTTTATACACGCCCACATTATCCTAGCACCTGACGCAGCGTTATCGCCACCCAATTTTCTGAGGGACTCTGAGACGCCTTTCTCGTCAAGTCGGAGATTCAGACAGCAGAATCGAAAACCCACGCTCGTATACATATTATAATTTCTCTTCAGTTTCACTCCAACGTATTTTTAAGCAGCTGCTGTGAAGTCGTTGAACAACTTCTGTAAAGCGATTATATGCCCTGTGTGCCGTCTCACTCATAAATCTCTAGTCCCATGTTGCCAATGTCACTGTGAGTGACCGTGACTGCTCTGCATTTGGACCAAAGCGATAAGCATTCGCTCGTGTTAATTATTTCCTGTTTTGAAATTGCATGTGTGAGTTACAGCATCGGAATGAGTATGAGTACGCTGGCTGTGTGAAAAGCCGCAGTGTAAAAAAAGTAAGGTCTGCGCTATGTACTCTTCATGCTGAAAGCGTCGTAAAGCATCCACAAAAGGGGAGGGGGTGAAGAGGGAGAAAGAACGAAAGAAAGTGAGACTACTATGTCAGTTTCAGTACGTTACAGTTCTACATTTCTTTTCTATTATTGCTAGTGGGGTGGGACTAAATCCCTTGTACTGCGGTCACTTCTGGCCTATTGTACCAACCCCAGATGATAGGTGAGGGTGATTGTGGAGCAACTGATGGAATGAAGATTGGCAGGGGAAACCGAAGTACTCGGAGAAAACCTGCTCCAGCGCCACTTTGTCCACCACAAATCCCACTTGACCAGACCCGGGATCGAACACGGGCCGCCGCGGTGGGAAGCCAGCGACTAACCGCTTGAGCTATGGCGCGGCCCAGTTCTACATTTAAAAACTATTCGTGCAACTACAAATAAATTGGACACAAAAATACATAGGACAGAATCAAAACGGCGAGTGCCCAAGGAGGAGGAACTGGATGAAAGCGACACTGGTTTGAATATTATATTCGAAAAGCGCATAGACGTCTTGCACATGAAACCTAGGTTCTAAGCTTCAGTTTTATTCTGTTTCCGAAAAGGAACTTACGTGAGAATGGGCAAGAGGACATTACCGTGATCTGGGTGGGATTTTACCTATAGGCATGTCAATTCCGCTGGCAGTCCCAAGTCTTGGTGGCCCACTTGGTCAGTAGGAGCGTCGTATTCTCCGTTTGGGCCTACGGCGGTTTGCTGCAGGCTGTGAGACGGCCACATCCATTAATTCTTGTTCTTATCTGTATTATGTAGGCAATAGATCCTCTGAAAATGGGGCTAAGTTAAAATATTTGGGATCGACAGTAACAGTCAAAATTTGATTCATGAGGAAATTTAGGGCAGATTGAACTCGGATAGTAGTTGTTACTTTTCAGTTCAGTATCTTTTGTCTTTTCATTCGTTTTCTAAAATCGTAAAAATTAGAATATGCAAAACTATGATTTTTCTGTTGTTTTTTATGGGCATGAAACTTGGTTCTGACAGCAAATGAAGAATGTAGACTAGGCGGTACTTGAGAACAAGGTGCTGAGAAGAATGTCTGTACCGACTAGTGACGAAATAATAGGAGACTGGGAAATATGTGTAATGGGGAGCTTCGTAACTTCGTATATCTTTGCCAGATATACAGAGATTTTTTTTTTAATTTTGCTGACCAGTTTACGGTTCTGCCCTCTGCTACGACCAGAGCGCCGCTTGCTTTTAGACGCATACGAATTTTGCCGATGAATCAGCATGCCCGATGACCGAGACCGTTTGGAATGAAGGGAGGTTATTAACTTGTGGACCACTTGACGGCATTATGTTTCACGGCGAGCATTGCGGTTCATGCGTGGGAGTTTGTTTATGATTTATCAGCAGCAGGCAGCAGTTATCAGCTCCATTAGCCGTTTGTTCTCAGTTACAGTTAGTAGGAAGTGTGGTACGTCATGGTGCGGTATACTTTGGAGCAACGTGTTTTTATATATGACACCTATGTGAAATACGGATCTGCTAGGAAGTGTCGGCGAAAATTTCGACATAAATTTTGTGATGAAAGAGTTCCCAGCAGAAAAATAATTCACATATTGGTGAATAAACTTAGAACAACGGGACTTTTAATAGACAAGAAACAAGAACTAATCGCCGAGTGCCTACTGAGAAGAAGTTATGTAACATAGGGGCCAGACATGAATATACATCTAGAAAATCACTGATGTGTCAAGCTCAAGAGACAGGAGTGTCAAAGTCTAGTGCAAGAACAGCGACACAATTGCTGAAGCTTAGGCCCTATAAAACAGTAATCCACCCCTTGCAGCCGCGCGATCCAGCTAGCAGGGTCCATTTTTGCAGTGGGTTTCTACAATCTGTCGTCGAAGGTGAGTTCGATTCGGAATTTATATTTTATGATGAAGCGTGATTTCACTTGCAGCGATACATAAATACTTAAAATAATCGCTACTGGAGTTCACAGAATTCACATCTGACCCACGATGGCCTGCTCCATCTAGTGAAAGCTGGTGTCTGGACTTTGTCTGTATTTTAACGAAACGATTAATTGCCAAGGATATATAGAGGCCATTCTAGGACAATCCTTTCCACAGTTAACAGAAGAAGAAGGACCCTATGGCTGGTTTCAGCAAGACTCAGCGACTGCCCACACTGCACTATATCGATGCAGGCTTTGTCAGATATCTTTGGGGACAGAATTATCAGTATTTGGCCAGAACGTTCACCCGATCTTAATCCTTCTGATTCGTTCTTCTGGGGTTGTTGAAGAACAAAGTTTACAAGAGTAATCCCCTCAACAGAAAAACTAAAAGAAAATATTCGTAGGGAAACTGCAAATAATCCTGCAGAATAGTATCAAAGGGTAAAACAGAACTTGTACCGCCATGCGAGGAATATCTACGTGTAGAGGGACAGCATTTTCAAAGTATACTGTGATCTGTGAACAAAGGTAAGAACCTTCCCTTCATTCCGAAAGTTATTTGTTGTCAAGCACGCGTATTCATCGGCAAAAATTCGTAATGCGTCTCGCAACAAGGGACACATCGACCACTGCAAAGCGCAGAGCCCTGGATCCGGTCAACAAAATAGAAATCCTCCCTGTATTTGGGGGGGAGGGAACAAATGCAGCGCGTGAATTTGTATTTGTTTCTGTGTACAAAACCCTTTCCTGCTACAGACTGCTGTATTTTAGCTCAGTGCCGTTACAAAATATGTCTGGAGATAGGTGGTTGCAATTGACACATTTAAAAATCGATTAAAAACAAATTTCTATATACAGAACTAGTCCATTCTATATCACCACCACCATAGTGAAAAACAAAAATATGAAGTATCCATGGGACATTCGAATTGACCTACCATGAAAAGCCGCAGTATATGCGTATGGTGTTGGTGGTGTTATGAGAGGGCACCAAGTCTCTCTTGTCTGCACACCATTCAGTGGTACACTAACCCGTCGAACATTGCGGATGAGTTGCGTACTTGTTAAAAAAATAGAAAGTTACCATCTCGCCTTCTTCATACTGGGGGCGGGGATTAAGGTCTCGGGTTTAACCTCGCCTCAGAGTGCGGGTGTCTTGACTATTTTTTCCCTGGATTTACTCGGGTAAGTGTTGAGATAGAATTTTAAATTAGGCCAATACATCTTCCTTCCTTCCTACTATCTTCTGCTTATATACAT